TGATTCTGCTTGGTGGGTAATGCAGAAGGATGGGGAAACCCCTTGTGCACCACAAGGAGACCCATTTTAAGTGAGATCTGTTGTAAGGTTTCATTCGATATTTTATATATATCTCTATCTATATATCTATACATCTATATATTTTTATATACTTTATTATGTGCATTATACATTTATATATATTTTTCTTTTCTATTTCATGTAGTGTGGGTTTTTTTCCTTTTTCCTAATAAATGGTACTTCTGACTTGGAGTCTCTCACGGCTTTTGCTTTCAAACCAGAACAATTGGCCACTGGCGATGGTTGTTTGGCTTGAATGACCAATTGGATCCACGTGTGTGTTGTGACTGTCTGGCAAGGGCCATGGGTTTTTCTTAGTAGTAAAGGATGGTATAACAAAGCAATTGATCAGCCTGCTGCAATCATGGAGTCAATGCTCATTATTCCCTGCTGGGCACCGCTGCTACAACAGGGACTGATGATTTTTCTTTCAGCACTGGACAGTCCTTTTTCCAATGCCCTCATTTCTTACAGGATGCAATCTGGGCCTTCTCCGGAGGGGAAGCTTTCTTGGGTGACTTTCCCTGAGTTACCTTCTTGTTAGGTTGGGATTAACTCTTTCAGCTGGGCCCTGTCTCAAAACACCTTCCAGGCAACCTCCAGCAGTTTATCCATGTCTTGAACTCCCTTTATCTTTTCTTTTTATATCATTTGAATTGCGACACACACAAAACAAAAGCAGATGTGCTTTACCCTCAGCTGACTCAGGATCTAGATCAGTATATTTGAAGGCAGTTTCTCTTCACCTGTTTAAAAAATCACTGGGTGACTCATCATCATTTTGCCTTGCTTGGTGAAGGTTTGACCAATTTACAGCTTTAGAGACCCCATGCTGTAACCCACATTCCACGAGCCTTTGGTATAATTTTAATTTTGCCATCTGCTCGGGTGTATTTGCATCCCACCCAGGGTTTTTAAGGGGCAATATCTCAGTGACAGTGCCTTGAAGCAACTCCCTGGCTGTGNCCACCCTG